ACACCAATCTATGCAAAATACCGTGTAAATTATTTTTGTCAAAATTCTAAACAACTTATTTACAATTTGCAATTTCTCCATAATTTAGCTACCATTTGTTAGAAATACTTTTTCGCGGCACAAGATTTAACGTGTTCCAAGGGAATTACTTCAAAAATGTATCACAGACATGGAAGCAAATCTATCTTTTTCAGGAAAAGATTCTCGTGTTCCGATATGATTAATTTAAAGGGAATTTTCGTGTACGAATGTAACTAATTTTAGAAACATTTTATACAACTTCCTACGGATTAAGAAGCACACGGAATAATATACAGGATTTCGGTGCCGGGAAAAGTAAAGCGATTCGTCATTTCACGATAACGAAAATATCCGTTTGTATTGTAAAGATTGCCCTGAAAAATGTGTACGGTCATTTTTAAACCGTGCAACGTTGACAAGTAGTTAAGGTCAGCTTTTGTGGATGCAGGGTAGCAAGCGTTTTAGTTGCACCTCATAAGGCAGAGCCAAGTACGATTTATTTTACGTCAGATAATACCCCTCAAGTAACTGCACCCTTTTTCCAGCATACACTTACCCGGTGAGAAACCATTCGAAAAAGTCCAGCGATATTTGTTTGCTCGAGTGGTAAAAACGTTTGCGATAACGTTTGAAAAAATATCAGATTTACAACCTCGTAGGCTGTTCTCTGAGATACTTCTATCGTACTCCGGAAGACTTGTGCAAGATTTATTACAACTTTGTGCCTTGGAAATAATTGCACGTTAAATGTAACGTGAAAGGAAAAAAATAAGGTTTCTAATTTTAAGAATATGTAACGTTTAGATTACGAGCAAATTATACGTGATAAAAAATGTAATTCGCCGAGTATCATTGTGTCAGCATCTTTGTAAATTAGTATCTTGAAGAAAGAAAAAAAAAAAGAAGGAAAGATTTATAGTGGAAAATTATAATATTTTTGCAACGATGTTAATTAACGGTTCGCCTTAGCTTTTCGATAAAATTATGCTAATCGATAAAATTGTGCTGATATTTTTAGAATGGATATTTACGAGTTTCTTGTACCAGAAGAAATAAGGAATTGAACCCGAGCAATTCACGACAATAGATTGAATTTTCTACATGATTGTATACGATTGATATTTGCATACGACTATATACTCTACACGTAGTTGCTGAATTATGCGTTTAATTGGATAACTCATGTGTTCGAAACTTCATATACGGAGCAACAGCAGCATCAATCTGCGATAAATTGAACGTTTCCTAACACGATTGTGCATCGAGAATTAACTACCATTTTTCATAGAGACAGGTATTAAATCAACGTCATCGTGTTATTGAGAAAAACTATAACAGTAACTTTTCTCTTATGAAACTTTGATTTAATGAAAAAGAAAAGATACGAGAGACCTTGAAAGTTTATCGAGTATGCAAGAATTTCCTAACCTCAGTTTACCAGATTTTCTCCTATATTTCTATCTTGATTTAACAACGTGCAAGAGAAAAAGTAATGAAAATTTCACTAATACGCAATTTTAATACAAACAGAAAAATAATATTTTTCACTTTGGAATTTTTCTGATTTAAATATCGAAGAATCGGAGCTTCGTAAATCTAATTATAATGAGAAAAAGAAGAAACAAGATTTAGAGCGTAGAAAAGAGAAATTAATTATCTTATCTGTAGAGTATAATAATACGATAACACTTGAATACATAAATCACATCTCATTCCCTCAATTTTTCTGTATTCACAAACCTAACCTCGAAGAGTAGCGAGAAAAAAACTATCGTAAGGTTGGAGAGCCCTTAGTGTGACAATACGAAAACAAAAATATTCCTCGATTTGCCGTGGAAAGTTTCACGGGCAAAATGTCGTAGACGTTATCAGCGCGCGGTAACAGTCGATCGAGCGCTTTGTAAATGAAACTCGGTAGATAGGTGTAAAGAGCGTGGTATTTCATTACGCCCGCGCTTCGATTCGAAACCCGTGTAGTAGAGTCTTGACCCGGCAACTTGCCGAGTGCCGCTTACTCGCTCTATACTACACACAGTTTAGATGTTCTCAATCGCGTGACCCTCGGCGAACGCGTTTCTGTATCGCTCTCGCGCGCGATACCATCGTCGTGGTATGCTTCTCCAACCGTAACACAGCCCACCCCCCGAAACGTTTCATTTTCAATGGAGAAAATTTCGCGGTGTAATATCGTCGATATAATTTACGATCGTCGTTAAAATCCGATTATCCCGATGTTTCGACTGGAACTCGATCGTTCCAGACGACCGAACACGATAGCAACAAACGATACAATCCATCGTCCTTCGTTTAAGGATCATTAATCTTCTCCTCTAACGTACGGAATCAAATATACGAAATAACAGGAACAAGAACGCGAGCGAGAGAGCGAGCGCGCGCGCGTGCGAAACAGACTAAAGAACACGATAAGAAGTTTGGAAGAAGCAAGGTTGACGACCGGCGTGAGTGCGCGCGCGCGAGCATACAAGCACCTACGCTCCTAAGCTATACAAGAGCAGCGCACCGGCGACGAGAGAAACGACGAGACAACGACGCGAACCAACAAGTAGAGTAAATGACTCACCACGTGAACGCTGGAGAGACCGACCGGCTCGCTCTGCTTCTTGTCCGTCTTCTCCCCCTGCCGTTTCGCTTTACTCTCGAGGAAACGTTGCTTCAACACCAGCGTGTCCTGTATGTTCTGCTCGCATAGACCGTTGAAACTCTGATCGAATCTTGGTATACAATCGGTCTGCCTCCGTCGATAACTCTCGATTCGACGTCTGAGACGATCGACGACCGCCTGCCTCTTGGGGGTGAGTACCTCACCCATGCCAGGTGCCTGACCCATTTGTTGCTGCAACTGCAGCTGTTGTCCGGTTACGTTCAATTGGCCGGTCGCGTTCAGTTCGTGGATTCCGGCCGATTGGCCTAATACGTTGTTTACGTTGCCGGTGTTGTTAACGTTTGTATTGGGAGCCTGGCCCACGCAGACCGAGATCGGGCCAGGCGCGGTGCCGGGGGGGCCTTGCGGGGGCTGGCGGGGCAGGAGCCCCCCGGCCTCCATACAGCCCCCTAAATCCACCGCAGGGTAAGCCAGCTCAGTGAGAACCTCTGCTACCGAAGCGCCTGACGCACGCTACTGCTACTGCTGCGACCTCGTCTCCCGCCGCTGCCCTCGAGCCGAGCATCCTCTGCCACCCTGCCAATGCGACGATCCTCAACTTCCGGTCAAGACGCATTTGGAATATGTCGTTCGTTCGCGCCTCGACACCGCCGCGCACCGAGCCGCCTCACTCTCTCTCTCTCTCTCTCTTTCTCTTTACACGCCGATACTCGCTGCACTGGCCGCTGTCTTGCGCCTCTTTGCTAAAAGAGATACGGAACACACTTTGCGTCGATACTCTCCGATCCGTTAGTAGTGTTTCACTGAATCTTCGTTCGATAGAGTCGTATGTGGTATATAATCACAGTTGGTATACACACAAGGAGACACGAGACGTTCGTCGATGGATACAAATCCTCTTGTTGATGTATATCGTCGTTCGTATATGTATACGGTTTTCCTTCACTCTTCGTTTCAAACGGAATTATGAATCGGTAGAATGAACGACGCCGTAAGACACTGTAAACAAAGTTCGTCACCCTTTGTAACACCAGGCACGCACCAATGTCACATTTAGCCACTGTTTCGTCTGTCCGGTTGTTGACATCGCGACATACCGCTGATACTATTCTCCGCGTTTTATTCCCGATGCCACGTGACTGAACGGTATACCGTGAAGTCCGTGTCGTTCCAACGCAACGAGTCACCGCAGTTCAGCCTCCACGCGAACGCACCTCGCACGCGAGATTACCACGGTGTTTTTCTGTGTCGGTAACGAGAACGCGACGCTCCCGTAGAGTCCACGCTGTCCGCGTACCGTTGCCTTGTTGACAGTGTAACGATGCCCGTGGAACGAGCGACAGTATTTGTCTTCCGGGTAAAGAAATTTTCGAACTGTCACTCTCGACAAGACGCGCGCGAAGATTCGACGGTAGGACGGAACGTTCACCGCGCGCGACTAAGTTCAGGGCCTGGAAACTCCGTGTATACAAGAGGCGCCCAATTTGTCGCGCCATCTGATGGTGATCCCTATAACTAAACGGAGTTGGCGGTACGTATGAAATATTTATTACCTAGCATTGCGTTTAATGCGATTAGAGAGCATAATTTAATTACTAAATTGCTTGTTTTATTTTTAATAATTTACTTTCTATGATAGTAAATGTGTTTTATGAAGGAAATATTACCGGTGTTTCAGATAAAACGAAATATCAAATTACTGAATATATGTTTATAATTAAAGGATTATTACGTAAAATGTGTATCTGTTTTTTTCCTATTCCCTGTAATATGAAACTTATTTACGAAAGAATAAATCTTCAAAGATAAATATCGTACGTGTGAAAAAAAATGTACGTGTTTAAAAATGCAATTAATCGTAAATTAATTACTTTTTATGCTGAAAAAATGTTTAGAAATATATAAAAGTACAAAATACTTAATGTGTCCGACTTTATTTAATAATCTTTCAAAAGTATAATATCTCTCGATTAAAAGAAACGAAAAAATTGATTTTCACACCAATTATCTTAATTCATAGTCCGCCTAAAAACGTATCAACTACGATTTTAAAAAAAAAGACCTGTTGCCTTTTATCAGCACGATAATCGATACAAATCGACGTATTGAACGGCAAGAAAGTCAATATTGTCTCTCGTATACATTCCGAAATGTGTCTCCAATGCCCTCTTTAGTTGCTAAAGTCTAACTACAACTTCACAATAAGAGCCTCTCTCTAAATTCTCCCTCTCCCTCGGATCTATCTCCCTCCCGCTCGCTCCTGCCGGCGTCCCGCGTCTGTACGAGGGACGGGAAACGTGGTTGATAGTGGGAGTGCGCGACAAGCCTTTCGCGGCTTAATATTGGCACTGGCTCGGAGATCAGGCACACGCTTTACCAACGGAAGACTTTCTTGCACGCGGAGGACGGTGCACGGGCGTCCTGCCGACCGTGAACGTAAGTATACGCGACACACACGGAAAACAGCAGCGCACGCCGCGTGCGCTGAATCTCTCGATTGTCTCTGTGCGTCGTCGAGTGCGCGTTGGACGTCACAACAGGTAGTTGAGCGAGGGCAGCGTGCTCCGGCCTGTCTGTAGAAAGAAAGGAAAAGACCGATCGAGCGAGCGAGAGGTCGATAGCTCGGCACGAGTGTGTCGGAGAAAGAGAGAGCGATTATAGTTATGACGACGGTCGGGGGGAAACGGCGGGAGAAGTAGGAGGAAGACGGCCGAGTGGAATACGCTAGAAGGGGAGAAAGATGGGATAGTAACAGGGAGGAGTTTCACTGTTTGGCCGGATACCTCCACACCGTGCCTTTGCACAACTGCCCGTGCCACAGCTTCGAATCTACATGCACGAGACGGGTTACTCACGCGTTCCCTCTGCTACTTTTCTCTCTTTCTCCCTTTCGCAGACCTTTCTCCCTCTTGCGTTTACGTATTTCATTCCCCCTCTATGGTTCGTCGCGATCTCTAGCACAGGGACGCGTTTCCGTAGTCTGGCGTTGGCTTTTTGAAAATTGATATATAACTTCTGGAAGTTCTTTTAAATAATGCACATTCGTTTGGAGAATAGTTTATTATATTTACGTATCTTTATTCTGTTGCATTGTATGTTTTTAATATGCTACTTTTTGGGGTAGAATTGTGTAAATCTAGAAGAAAATATATTTTGAATAAGATTTTGAGAATTCGTAATGTCGCAGGTACGTGTAAATACATTTGTTTCATAGTGATGCATTGATTTATTTATTTAAAAACTTCGTGCTGTGATTAAAGGGGACATCTTTCTAAAAATCGTTTCAGAATGGTGATTAAATTGAATATGTAATAGGAAAATTAATATAGATTGTTTAATTATCGGAATATTCTTAATGAAACCTGTATTCATTAAAGTATGATCATATTGTAAGACGTGAGAAGTATAATCTATTTCTCCTTTAGACTATATATACTGCAGGAGTATATACATATAATCGGTAGATTATAATTGTAGTCACTGATACGGGTGCATTCTAGCAGAAGAATTATAAACTATGAAACGCGTCGGCAGTCGACTGTAAACTTGTAGCGACATCTTCGAAAGAAAGAATTGTCCTGTTTGGCACGACTTTACCGACCCGATTCATAAATTATAGATATCGTAGACGTCAATTAATTTACACATTGCCTACGTATTCTGTTATCTATTAATGCTTATTATTTGTAATAAACATTTAATTAAATAAAACGATAAAGATGTGGAAGAGTACACACATACACAAGAATCGTTGGATTGTAAAATTTGTTATTGAATTGAAAACATACTTGGAATAATATATTTAAAAGACGCGCTTACCTTTCAATTTAAGTTGCAAGTGCTGTCATCTGGTTTCCATTCAGCGCAACAGTTTCTATGATAAAGGAGTAAACGTGTGCATGCATCAATCTAGGGCTTGTAAAATATGTACACACCCTTTAACACTTCTTTAACGATTGTACAAATTAATATACTTTATATATTAGATGTTTGTAAGCATTAATAACACTATTCGATATATCGTATATGAAATATTAATATAAGTACAAGTTTTAAATGTATTGCATTGTTATTTTGTAGTTTAAAAAGTGATATAAAAGATGGATCTGAATACGGCTAAGGGTAGCAACATTGACGGACGTTGGAGCAGTGCATCAGGAACGAGTCCTTCATCCAGAAATTCACTAACGCTTATATCATCTGGAATTTCTACTTTGGATCATATCATAGGTTTGGATAAAATTTTCTTCCTTGTCTAAAATTAACCAATTTCTTTGTTAGTGCTTAAACATTATTGTTGTATGTTTACATAATTTGTAGGTGGTGGATTACCTGTTGGTTCCTTGTTTCTCATTGGTATGTACAAAACATATTGCACTTACAAAATTTATACCTATGTTGGTCATGTGGAAAATGGTTTTTATTTTTAGAGGAAGATCGGTATGGCACATATGCAAAAGTTATGATAAAGCACTTTATGGCAGAAAGTGTGGTTACAAATCAACCGTTGTTAATTGCATCCAAAGATACTAAACCAACACAGTTCGTGTCAGAAATTCCAGCTGTTGCAGAAGATACCAAAAAATTTGATCCACTTTCCTATAAGAAATATAAGAAAGATGAAGAAATGCAAATTGCATGGAGATATCAACATATGCATCTAATGCATACCTTAATTAAAGGGAATTATTTTGGTCATTACTATGACCTTACAAAGCCAATGAAAAAGGAAGTAATTGAAAAAGCTGATATAACTCAGTGGTATGATGATAGTTGTCCTGAAAAAGACAGTGGCTTTAACAATAAGGCATATACAAAATTACTAGTACATATTCAAGAAACTTTGAAAAAAGGACAATATTCAATTTCAGAAAACCCACCAAAAAGACAGATTCTAAGAGTTGTAATTCACTCTTTAGGATCAAAATCATGGTTTAGTGATTCTGAAGATGATACACATAAAGATTTGCTAAAATTTTTGTTTTTATTTAGAGCACTTCTAAGGTACCATTATGCAGTTGGAATGGTTACAGTACCTACAGAAGTGTTAGACAATTCTGTAAGTTCCATTCTTCATCGGTAAATATATTTCTACATAAATGTGAATTCATTCATTATAATTGAGTTTTAGAATTCTATTGTGGAACGAATTGAACATATGTCAGACATTGCAATCAGGTTGGAATCGTTTGCAGGCTCGCAAAAAGAAAGAAATATGTTATTTAGAGAGTATCATGGCCTATTGCATTCTAGAAAAATGCTTGCTTTGAATACCATAGGACCTCGTGATCCAGAATTAGTAGATTTTGTATTTAAATTGCGTCGCAGCAAATTTATCATCGAGGTGACCTACTTTTATCAAATGTATCAAGTTAAAATCTGACAATCTTTGTAGAATCTCATACTTTGCTTTAGGTTTTACATATACCACCTGAACTAGAGGATACTACTGAAATGGAACTACCTTTAGGAATATCAGTACCTGGATGTTCTAATCAGGGATACAAAAAGTTGTTAGATTTTTAAAAGATGTAGTATAATGAATGCAATCTTATTTGTACACAGATATTAAAAATTTTGTACCTCAAACCCTTTTGTGCTTTATTATAAGATCTAGTAGACTATACTTCACATAAATAAGAGCTACTTAAACCAGAAATGCATACTACATCGCGTGAATTAATGCAGACAAGAGGAGATAGGCTCCGTGAACACTCACAATAATACGCACGAGGCGTGTACTTGTTCAGTAGTATGATATTACGAGTACATTTTTACCACAGATATTAGAAATAACAATCAAGTTTATTTAAAACCATTCGTCTGTGTTTTACCACTTAATAAAAATTTCCTTCAATTCAGATCTATCCAATACTGCTTTAAAAAAAGAGCTATAAAATATTTTAACCTTCGCAACATACTCTGTCATTAACAGTAACATAAAAAACGAACTTTTTTTTCTATAATTAAGAAAATATCATCGGTACTTGTGTATTCTTGATATATTTCATGCACGGAATACACAAATAAGAATTTCACGAATGTGAACAGGAATAAACAAGCGTAAACGTTACTCATCCGTGACGATTACGCACAAACTGGCGACTCCCCCTACGTGAAATTCGACAAACACCAGTCATATATGTACAATCGTATAAGAACACGCATATGGACATTTCACCCCCTCCTGTGTATTTTTTTTGTTTCGTGCCTTTCTATTTCCTTCCGGTTCCATCCGGTCGGTCGCGCATGAGGGCACGCAACGCAACGCAAGCGCACCTACGGATGCGCCAGTATTCGTACGGCACTGTGGAACCATCTATCACGCGGCGGCTTTTTAGTCTTCGAGTTAACGCGGGCAAGTACGCGTCGAAAACTTGAAAAAGGACAAAAAAAAGAGGAAAGGTGGGAATCAGTGGATAACCGTACGTCGAAGGGAAAACACTTAGCATGAATTTCATTCGAATCGTCGACATTCTCGTTTCTCGCGACCATTAATGGAGTGTCATCGCGAGGGATTAACGTGACAAGTTGTCACCCGGTGTTCCTCTTGTTGTCGCGTAACGTGTTAACGGAGAAAAAACTTGCGAACTTCGATGTGTTAAAATGGAAAGGAAAAGCTTCGATGTGTCGCGTATCTTCGTGTGCTGCTCGAATATCATTTTCTTGGTGAGTTCTGAAAAAAAAAAAAAAATTAATGGGATGTTTATTGGATCACATGTTAGAACGTATAAAATGTTTTTTTTATAAAATTTGATTTTTACGTCAAGTAGATAAAAGTACATCTTTCAAATTCGAGGCTGTCCCAAAATTTATTTAAAATATTATAAATTTAATAAAAAAAGCCTGAATTGACTTCGATTTCAGATATCGGGTTTCTCGTTGATGTCATTAGGAGCGTTGTTATTGGCTGATGACGAACGCATTCTACTCTCGCGTTTATTAGGACCAGGGGATATACATCCTGAACAACCATTATTTTACTACTTGGCGTTTGCGATCGTCGGACTTGGATTTCTGATCACGCTTACAGGCCTGCTAGGATGCTGGGCCATTTGTCTCTATAATCGATGCGTTACCGTTTCAGTAAGATTCTATATATCTTTATCGTAAGTTATAAAATTCTAAGCGCTTTTCAGCCACTATTAACATCAATATTTAAACAAGTGAACGTAGTATTTTTTTTATTATTCGCTTTACGATAGAACGTTTTTCTTGACACACTTCAGAGAACATTAGTTCGTGTGAATAATAAATTCATCTGAACGGTGGTAAATTTTTAGGTCTCTCCCATCGCTTCAGAATAAATTATACAAGCGTGTAAAAGATTTCTCTGATTTCACTCTGACAGTTTTCCAAAATTTTTATTTCACTGTATCTAAACTGCTCGTACTTTCCTCCGGAAATATATTTAACGAAGAACATATGTATATCATTCGTTCCGGTAGTTTTACTCACTTGCTTTTTAATTAATACAAATATTCCTTAATCTGCAATTAAAATTCAAAGAAAAGTAACTTCAGTTACAGTTAAAGACTTGTCAGTGATCTACGCGTGCAGAAACATATGTATAGTCGGTGGAAGAAATATAGCGAGGTTGTAAATTGATGCAGTGACATCTATCGTCGTTATACGATACTACATTTTTCCATTGTAACTGAATCGAAGCTAAGATTTTTTTACTTCACGGCAGCCCTGGCTGAAATTTCGAAACTCTTACGATATACTCGGAACATGTAAACATTAACGCCTGACCGATCTCGCAACCTCGTTATATTTCTTTCACCGACTCTACTATAGTGGTACTTTTCTGACACCCCATATAACTTTCACGTTCAACGCTAAGTCCGATCCAGACGATAAAATTTTCAGATTCGTAAAGAAACATTTCTAAGCGATTCCGTGCAGAACGATTTACGTGTATCTATCAGACCTTTGTGTCGTATTTCATCGCGTTACAACTCGCTCCTGGAAGAACCGTGCATTTTAATCGTCCAGGGAGTCAAGGTCTGCGCGGTCCGCGCGCTTCTTCGTCGCGCGAGTTCGCTCTACGAACCAAACTGAAACCAGATTTCCCGCTTTGCCGGTCTATGGTCACGCGTCGCTGCCCGGAAACGGATCTACATAAATCCAGGCACGCGTGCCCACGGAAGGAGGGCGAGTTCGCGTATCATTTAAAAACAGCAATTATTTCCAAGGAGTCGCTTATTAGACGAGCAAACGCGCGATTACCGCACGTGAAACGTGTTCAGCGGAGTTGTTTCTGTTGAACGTTTCCGATGATGATGATGTAAAATTTAGATAAGTGACGATATAAATATTGTAGATGTCCAATTAGCTGTGAATACGCGAGAATACTTTACTACTTTTTTTTTTATTAGTAATAGTTTGTTTGCAAGATGCAGGTAGAAGGTGTGACCGTACAAGCAACGAACGAAGTATCCTTCTCGTGTTTCACTTGTGAACGTTGCTATAGAAACAGATACATATAGATACGTACTTGCCTGCTGTTATTCTTAAAAGCACTTCTTTTTGTCCTCTTTGCTGGCCTTTGACTCGTGGATTTAAGATTTGTATCTCTTTATGTTGAGGTTACGAAAGTAATAGAATTTTATTTTTCAAGGGGTATGAGGTTAGCGTAGATTTGAATTTGAATGGATTTTGAAGAATGGAAGATTTTCTTGTGTCTATTCAATAGCAAGAAATTGTATAACAGATGTAGAAATATATGTATTATATTAGACGTCGTTATTCTTCCTTATACACTGTATTAATCGAATAATACAGAAGCAGAATAATATTAATCGACAAACATACAAGCAGTCTTACAACTAACCTCATAACTATTTCATTTAGCTCGCCGTAATGATTCTACCATACATTAAACATTCAATAACCATCATATCGTTCAAGTATAACAATTCCTTAATTACTTCATCCATTACAGATTAACTTCATGCTTTACTTCTGCCTCCAGTATCTCATCACGATAATTCTGCTGTTACTCGGCGAGTGCACCGTCTGCGTCCTCGTGGTGTTCTGGCCACACGTTCTTGGCATAGATGTCAGACCAGCTCGATTGATACGAGCTTTACAGCGGAGCTACGCTGTTCCCGGTCGAGAGCAATTCACTGCAGCCCTTGATCTCGCGCAAAGAACGGTATACTCATTTTTCCCCAGGCGAAACGATTCATTTTCCGAAAAATCAACACGAGACACGCCGTATACGATACGATCGATGAACGATACAAAAGCGCGGGAGTGTCCATTTCGACTTCCCGAAGCTAACGATCGCTCGATCGATCATCTGGTAAAAGGCAATTACACTCACGCCCCCTTTTAACATGAAATTACGTCGACCTTTTCAGTTTGCTTGCTGCGGCATAAACGGAAGCAGCAATTACGGCACCTCCTGGTGGCGGCTGCAGGAAGTTGGTCGAAGAGAATTAGTGGTGCCTCTCAGCTGCTGCACCCTGAGCAACGTCAACCAAACTGACTCCTTCCTCAACCCTGAACCTGCCAATCTTACTCTCTGCCAAGCTTTGAACCCTGCCGAACATCAATATGCTCGACACACAACGGTACGTATCGTTAATGAGGATGTTGTTGATCAGGCGAAAGGAATTGGGTGTAAACATTTCGTCAAGCGGCAGGTTCATTGATACAGTAATTTGTGATTGTAATCGTTAGGAATTGTCTGGCAGATATGTCGTTCGAAAGGGTGTAAGGGAGGTTATGTGATTATTTTGACGTGAAGGTGAATATTAAGATAGACGTTGAATGTCATTGTGGCAAAAATGAAGTTATACTCTGTTTTATATTACATAATTTAATCACAAATATTTCACACTATAAATATTTCTTATCATTTTTAACAAAAGCAACGAAACAGTAAAGGTATAGTCGGTGGAACCGATATACACCACACACACACAGTAGAATGCAATTATAATGCACCGTTACCAATGCCACATTTTTTTCCCCGCTAAATTTTCAACGATACGTTTGCCGCTTCGACGCACGTGAAATCGTGACGAAATGAAAACAACCGTCGATACGCTTTGTGTCGCGACACGCATATGCTCAATAATGACCCGCATGCAAATATCACAGCCTAAGGGAAATCCAGTCGGATGCGGGTTGCGCAAAAGCGGCGTTGCTCTATCGTTCAATCTGTATCGTATCTGAAAACGGACGCGACGCTCTGGCAAGTTCAATGGAAAAAGCTTGGTTGCGAAGTTGGCACGTTACGCGAGAAACTTTCCTTATCTTTGCCGCGCGAAGCGTATTAAATTTCGCGTGGCCGCGCAGGAATTCAATATAGATTGAAATGTCATCGCGTGTCAACGCTGTCCCTGAATATGATGACATTATCTAGCCGTCCGAGGCTTTTGCTTGTACCATAAAAGAGTATCGGTTTTAATTTATAAATGGATCTATCTTCGAACGTAAGCTTTGTTCAATTGAAAAGATATGTTATGTGGAGGTCGAAGAAATGGAATAGTAGGTTACATCGAACGAAAGCTATTAGGAATGTAAAGGCTAACAGTTGCTAGTAGAAATGTCAAGGTTGTTTGAAGTTTGTTTAGTCTTCTCTCGTTAAACATAACCAAAAAGATCATTACACCGCTACAAATACATATCCCTTTTATATTTGACATTTTTACAACGAACAAAATGGGCATTGATACGAAAATAGATTTTCTATAGGGTTGCTTAGAAATGCTCGAGAAATGGACTCAAGATCAGGCAGTGATATTACTCACAATTGGACTGGCGGTGATTTTCGTGGAAGTTGGTGCGCTTCTGAGCACATTCTTTGCCTGTTCCCGAGGCAATAAAAGGGCCAAGTCTCAAGCGTCCACATTTACATCCACGCAAACTCTCAGTCCTTTCAGCGAAAGCGATCACGATTTCGGTACGATTTTTTCTCTTTGTTCCCGATTCTAATCACTTGTTTTCGACAGAAAAGAGCACTTTCTTGAATTATTCATAGGCTTGGGGATCGAGAATCGAATGCACGCGACCGGAACGACGTTCGGCGCCAAATCATGAAGGTGGCTAGAGGGCAGTGAGGGTAAATCTTCAATCGGCGTCAAGAATACAAAAACTGTGTCAAACTTGCCTAGACTTAACGATGTGAGGAGATTTGGCAAGAGTATAATTGAAGAATGGAAGAATCCTCCACAATTCGGAAACGACGTGTTAAGAAGCGATCAATTGTACGAAGAACGCGCGGTAGATGTCGCGCCAGAGTATTTCCAGCAGAATTATTCGAAGGATAAAACTGATCTCGACAAAAATCGCGACGATAAGAAAAATGCGACGAAATCAAGAGCACATAACAGCAGTGGAACCGTCAGAAGTATTCCAATTAAGAATTACCAAGCTTCGATAGCGCATAATATTGGAACTCTAAGGAGATCTGAAGCACCTCAATTACAATTTGAATCTTCGATGTCTGAGCCAGAGAGAAGTCTCTGTTCAACAAAATACAAAACTGTTCCAGCGTCACAAAATGAAACTGAATATCAAATTCAACGATCGGCTAGAACCCCGAAACATTCAGGCACTTTGAATCCATATAGAAGGTCCTGTCACTCCTGCGACTACCAGCGGGAAATTCAAAATGAACATCGTAAAATTAATTCAAAATTAAGGACTTTGGACAGAAGAATAGTCAGAAGCGAGCATGATGTTGCTGTGCGTGCTGATAAAGAGTTCAGCGATTTCGAGGACTATTTCCATAAGTCTTCCTCTCGGAAATTCAGTTCCAGTCGTGGAAGGTTGAAAAATACGAAAACTAGGAATCAATCTAAGAACGGAACAATGCAAAATGGAGGATCGAAGCATTTGAAAGCCGGAGATCCACGTGTTTCAAGAAAATGGGGGACTATTGATCTAGAACGAGGACACGTTGGCCAAAAAATATTCGCGTACGAGGAAAATGCTAAACGCGGTAGTCATAATTGGGACACTGCCGATAAGTATCAAGTATTTCCTGAGATAAAGAAGCACAGAGCTATTGGTGTACCATTGGTGGGTATGCATAACGCGTGTGGTTTACCAGTAGTCGCTTCTTGGCAAGGTCATCAGCTGTTGGAACCTTTAAGAATGAAAGGAAGAGTTTTGGGAACATTAAGACCAATTTATAAGGGACCCCGTGCATCTTTGGACCTCCACCATCGAACTCATCCAAAAAGAAAAATGCTATTACCAAATAAAAGTGTTCCTAAAAGGACATGTCCTACAGAATTGAGAGAAGTCGGTAAGAAAGTCGATTACCCGTCGATAAAGTCATTAGTTTCTCTTGATGCACCTGGTGGCGAGGTTAGGAGGCGAAGAAGGCATCGCCCTTCGTTCAAAGCAAAAAAAACTGGGACATTTTCGTCGAAGAGTTCAGTGAAAAGGAAGGCGAGATCGGCTGTAAGAAAAAATAAAGAGAATTCAGTGGCTGGTAGCCTTCGTAGGAAATCTTTCGAAGTTGGAAGCACCAAGAGGCAAACATTATACGCTAGGGATGACGGGGAGGATGCTGTGCAAGTTCTGAAGAGCTTATGCTTAAATCCTTTGGCGCGAACTAAATCCGAAACTGACATGATATGGTGAAACTAATGGAATACACACTTCTGATTGTACAACCGCGAAAATATCAATTATTGTTGCTACTTTAAACTTTACGTGCATGTATAAAATATAAAATCTTACTTGTTTGACGCATTGGGTTAACCTAAAAGTTTCCATGGTTTTTAATTGTTGACAAATGGCGGGAACTTTTGAAGTGACCCAATAATAACGATCGACCGTGTAGTACAATCGTTTGATTAGATTTATTTTAACCTTCTACTTATTGTATTAATTATATGTTATTGAATCGATTAAAACTCTACTATATAGTCTGATTCGTACTATTATGTTATATGTATATTCATTATATACTTTGTAAATATGCTTCAACGATAGTATTGTATTCTTGAATGTTATAATAAAAGAAAAACCCTTGCTACCCTCGTTAGAAGCATTCGAGTACGACGAAGAGATCCTTGAATGAACGTGCTCTTAAGTGTTTTAAACATGTAACATTATACGAAGTAATACTTAAACGACATATGTTTCTATATTTTACTCTTTTGTATTCTAACCTCAATTACACGTTAACCATCTTTTTATTTAAAAATTTCAATTCGAGAACATCACGAAAAAATGGTAATTTTAAATTTAGATTTACAACGATAATTTTATCATTTTATCCTTTAAATTTCACACAGTGTCGGTATCAAAAATTTTTCTCTCATCTATAAAATTTTATACCGAAGGATGGTAAGTAGACGAATAAAGAATATTTCGTTCAACCTAATTTCAACTTCCACCGCTAGAGTTCGCTGCTTTCCTCTTACCCCTATTTTAGGGGTAACAATCTTACATTATTTAACGTTCCATTTTACAATTAAACTTGAACATCGATCAACATACAAAGGTGTACGTATAGATAAATTACACATAAATATAGATCGAAAGAATAATACAATTATTTTTCACGAAGTATTTTCATCGACTAAAGTTGACCCAAAATTTTCCGGATAAAAATACAATGGAATTTTGGACTATCGAGGAAATGAATATTTACAATATTTTCAACAATAAACGATACAATTTTTCTATCGTAAATTACTTGGATTACACCAGCCAATATCTACCCTCGTTTTGAAAAAATATGTTTTCACACTTCCCTTTCACCGGCGACACGTTTAAGATTTGAAAATCTTGTCCCCGGCCGAGTGGTTGTCGGGGGCAGTCGATACATTCTTATTTCTATACAAAGCCTTTCAATTTCCCTACTGAGCCTTTGATATTTTGCAGAACGAGGGTCCTTTACCCTGCCCCTCATCCAGCCATTCTCCTTTTCTTCCTCCTTTCTACGCGAAGATTATGCAAATCAACGGAAACGCTTGAAAATATTGCTGGAACGTTAAATACCCTTTGTCTTTTCTTATTTCAATACGGTGTCAGAAAATGGATATTTCTTTGAAGTAGAGTAAGGTATATTATTTACATAAATACCAGCATATTTATCAAAATTCTCGTAACAATTCTACCTTTCACTTATCTCACAAGGTGAGTTGGAAAATTTAAAAAAAAATTTCACTTCCAGTCCCACTTTCTCTAGGGGTGCAAACTCTCACGAAAAAAAAATTGCCAGTTTTCTCAATTACCTCGTGAATATTTACGAAATCCTACGAGATATGGAAAAAATTTGAATTCAAAATTGTGCGATTTTCTATATTCCACAATGCAGTCGAAAAGAATTTTCGAGGAACCCCCCAAAAAATTCAAACTTAAAAAAAAAAAAAAAGAACGTTTTCAACTGAAAAATGCCTTCGATCGTTCTCGTTCACTCTTGAAATTGAATCAAGGACGATTTTCCGAAAGAAGAATCCTCTCTCTCGGAAGAAGCAGGCATGCAAAGAAGAAAAAAAGGCGTCGCAAAAATCCGTGAAAATTCGCACGATTCTGTCAGATCACCGTGCGAAGAATACTCGGGAAAATTCGTGTGGATAACGAAAGGATTCCGTGGAACGTGAAATTTCGTTCGTCTCGAGGCGTCGCTCTCCTCTTCTTTTTCGCAACCGGACCGATCGAATGCGATCTTCGAAGCGACGACGTCGTTTAGTCGCGGCCACTTTGCAATGATATATCGGCCGGTGTTCATGAAGAGGTGAACGTCGAAGCATTGTCGGCTCTCTGTATAGTCATCACGAGCAGAAATGGCCTCGTGTTAGTTACGCGTTAGACAATTCGTTCCGTGGAGAGGACGACAGAGATCGCCGACTTCGTGAAACGCAACCCTTTTCCGGGTGGACTTGGACGAAGATAACCGATTGCCACCGAGCCTCACCGTGACTGGTGAAATTGAAATATTAGCTCTTGGCTCGTATCGATGGAGTTGAACGGTTCTGGACAGTTTTTGGTCGTTCAGATTTATCTACCGATTGTACAAAGTGGAATTTATGGTTTCTGTATTATAGCGGCCGGTATAAATCGTACGCGCTCCAGATTTCTATGCATACGTTCTGTCGATCATTTTTTTCAAACAAAGTGAAATTTTGGTAACGGCAGCTTTAGTTACGCCTTGCCTCTACGTTGTTGGTATTGCTATTATTAAATATTCCGCGTGGGAGAAGCCTTTATAAACTTTTGCAAAATACACCAAGTCGGAGAATGTCTGTTTTTATTTTACAATGAAGAAACTTATAAATTACACTAGGTCGTAACGTAGGAAATAAAGAATCGTACTCCTAAATTTTCTTTATTTTCTTCTTCATATTTTCGAACACACAAACTCGATCTATCGATCAACCAAGGAAAGAAAAACCATTAATTTATTCACAAAGAGGTTGAACAGAAACATTCTCGTGCCGTGAGATAAGAATCAAGTGAAAAGCACCTCTCAGGTTGTACAAGAATTCGCAGCAAAGAATTGGACATAATATCGCAGCCGGAGATTCCTCCGAAAAGTGCAGACACTTGGTTGATCACGCTGATCTACGGCAAGCATAGTCCGCGGATCTATTATGAGAAAAGGGGCGAGAAGTGGTTTTCCCGTTGAACGACGAAGATAAATCGCAAGAAATGCAAATGACGCGGTATACGGCGGCTGAACGAAGCTCCATTACGGCGATTTCGGAGGACACCCTTCGACGTAAGGACAAGAACGGGGCGGAAAAAGGGCGAGCGAGGAACTTTGAGAACGGAGTGACATTGTGCCGGTGAAAGTTGGCTGAAGTGACACTCGAGATAAATGTTCCATCGCCGTTACACGCTCGAGCTGTCCTCTCCTTTTTCTTCTTTCTTCCACGCTCGGACCTCCGCTCGTCCGCCATCAATTTTTGACTGCAACCGCAGAATGCGTTTTCACGCGAATTTTACACGTGTCCGAGGAAAGACGCGACGTTTCACGTCTATTTCGATTGAGAAATGGCTTGATTTTAGTTAAATAGTGACCTAACCTACAATTGTGAGTGACAAACCACTTTAATTCTACAGTGGACCAGGCAAACTTGAGAAAAAATTATGTACGTGTATCTAAAGATAGAGATTTCGAAGAATATTTTAAAACGGTACTGTAATAATTTCGTTAATTTCACTTTTTGAGGTTAACCTCAAAATTCTGGGTGACAAACCACCTTAATTCTACAGTGGACCAGGCAAACTTGAGAAAAAATTAAGCACGTGTATCTAAAGATAGAGATTTCGAAGAATATTTTAAAACGGTACTGCAATAATTTCGTTAATTTCATTTTTTGAGGTTAACCTCAAAATTCTGGGTGACAAACCACCTTAATTCTACAGTGGACTAGGCAAACTTGAGAAAAAATTAAGCACGTGTATCTAAAGATAGAGATTTCGAAGAATATTTTAAAACGGTGCTGCAATAATTTCGTTAATTTCACTTTTTGAGGTTAACCTCAAAATTCTGGGTGACAAACCACCTTAATTCTACAGTGGACCAGGCAAACTTGAGAAAAAATTAAGCACGTGTATCTAAAGATAGAGATTTCGAAGAATATTTTAAAACGGTACTGCAATAATTTCGTTAATTTCACTTTTTGAGGTTAACCTCAAAATTCTGGGTGACAAACCACCTTAATTCTACAGTGGACCAGGCAAACTTGAGAAAAAATTAAGCACGTGTATCTAAAGATAGAGATTTCGAAGAATATTTTAAAACGGTACTGCAATAATTTCGTTAATTTCACTTTTTGAGGTTAACCTCAGAATTAATTTTTGAGGTTAAGCCACCACTGCGTCGGTAGCCTCAAATATGAATTTTAGCAGAAATTTAAAACGAAGCGAAGCTTCATAGATCTTCTTCAATTCCTTCTGAGATATTCCACTGTGTCCAGTTGGCCCTTTGCGGACGGAGGACTACATACCACATTGAAATCACTATTCCAATTTTTTAAAATTCCATTTCTCTTAAAAATAAGTATCCGAGTTTATAGCAAAGCCTACTATTCTTATTGCTTCAAAATATATGAAATATATGCTGAACGCATATGAGTCTATCGTCCTCAAAAGGTGAAAAAAGACACCCTGTATATACAGTAACTCCTGGCGAATGTCCACAATCGTCCATAGTACTAGAGATCATTCGTATCAAGCGACTATACTCGTCCGTACCACCTAAAGGATTAATAAACGAGCTCTAAAGGACAGCGATTCCCAAAAATTCCCGAAAAATCCCAAAACCCTCGCCAGATCAACGAAACGTCCACAGAGCGAGCTGATAGTTCGAAAATCGCAAATAACAGGACACTGAACGAACCGTGGAACTTATACAGCTGAAGAAACGGAGGAACCAGGGGACACGTGTAATTACATTAATGGAAAATTCGCGGTGCAGGCGGGGTTTTTAGGAAAGGCGGCGGGGTCCTTAACTCACCGAGAAATCGGGGATCATTAGGCGAAGCTCGGCTGGGCCGATGCCGAAAAAGGGGCGACGGTTTCTCGCAACTGTCCGGTTGACCCAAATCTTTCGGAAAACCGACAAAACTGACGGGCCGGACGGAATTCCACGCAGATGGCGCTGTTGCACCACGGTACATACA